CCTCTCCTCCTTGATCATCTTCGCTTCTAATTTCCGTTCCAGAGTCCTCACCCTCGTGAATGGGAAAAAGCAGAGTCGCTCAGGACCCGTGCCCTGCCAGCCCACTCCGAGCACCTGCTCTGGGGTAGCGCTCTGCCTGCACTGCACCCGCCAGTGGCCAGCGAGCCGCAGCTGCGTGCCTGGCCTGGGAGGCAGGACCGCCTTCTGCCACCGCTGCAGCAGGCAGGCCACCTGGCCGCAGACCCCTGGCCAGAACCCAAGAAGCCTGTCCGTGCCGAGGGCCTACGCGCGGCGGAGCTGGGAGCGCGACACCCACTGCCTGTGGCTTAGGAGCGACTCCCCCGAGTGGGCGCTGGAAGGCGACCGAGAGCACCCTAGCTGGGAGCGACTCCCCCGAGCGGGCGCTGGAAGGCGACCGAGAGCACCCTAGCTGGGAGCTTACATACATTTCTGTCTGAGTGTCAGAGAAGCTCTGAACCTCACTCAGCTTTCTTCTTAGCTTAGAGTTCTCGTCTTTCAGCTGCAGAGAAAGAAAACCCTCGTTAGCAACTCAGCGTCTCCCGCAGAAGTGGCAGGACGCTGCACTCTGGCTCTGGGGCTTCCTGGGGAGCAGAAAGACCTGGGTCTCCAGGGAGCCCCCACGCCCTCCTGGAGAGACATGAGGCAAATGCAGGCCTTCAGAAGACTCGTGGCTGCTGGCTCTGCACTCAGGCTCTCGCCTTCCTCGGGTAACCACGGCTTCCTTAAAAAGTCCCCATTTGGAATACTCCAAGAGCTGTCCCCGAGCGGGGGCTGGAGTCCGTCCTTTCCGAGGCCCAGGCTGGGTCGCACCATCAGACCTGCGCCTGTGCTCCGCCGGCTGCATGCACACTCGTGACCAGCCAGCCTGACGTGAGCTTCCAGGGACCTGCGGCAGGCCGTCACCTACTCTGTCCTTGAACCCACCAAGCCACCCGGGAGTCAGGGGTTCAAGTGTCCCCGGAGGCCGCCCAGGCTCGAGCTCGGTGCCAAGGGCCAGCACCGCCCTCACTCACAGCTTCGTAACTTATCTGCAGCGTCTGCAGGTGCCTGTGTCCCAGAGACTCCCCGTGGCCCGCGAAGTCTGTGCTCGGACTCCCCGTCGGAGACGTCGGCGACACCCGTGAGTCCGTGTCGCTGAGTGCCCAGGGGGGCAGAGACTCAGGCCCCGCCAGCTCCGACGGGGTGGAGAAAAAGGACAGGTACGTGCCGCAGGGCGACGTGCTGGCTGGGACCCTGGAGGAGTGCGTCTGCTCCACAGCGGACGGCAGGTAGACCCCATTCCACCCGCCATCCTCATCATCTTCGTCCAGGGGGTCACCGGCTCCAGTTGGGTCCTCAAAAAACGGCTGCTGATAACCCAGGCCGTACCCCATGGTCGGGGAGTGGTGGTCGAGTCCCAGGGAGTGCCTTGAGGCTTCCTAGGAAACAGCGAGGGCCCAGCTTCCACAGATGCCAGTGTGGGGCTGCCTCCCTACGCCCAGCCTGGGCTGCACCCAGAGGCCTCCTCCCGTCCCCAGGGAGGGTGAGGGCCACGGGAGCCACACAGCCCCCCCACCCCCTGCAGCTTCTCCACTGCACTAAAAGCCCCCTCCCCCCCATCCCGCGGACCGCCACAGGCTGGCAAAGAGACCCTCCGAGGTGTTCCTGGCTAGTCATGGCCACGACTCCGTCAGCTTACCTTGGAGTAAACCCTACTGCTGCCTGTGTCCTCTGACAGGCCGAGGCTCTTGGATTTCAGGAACTCTTTGAAGGAGAATGGATTTGCCTCTTCGAGATCTTCTAGTTTATCGTCTGGAACAACAGGCGCATGGAGTCACAGACTCACACAGGAGCATTACGAGTAACCGCGTGGCCGCCCCTTGCCAGACCATGCCTGCACAAAGACCGGGAAGGCCACCCTTGGCATCCCCAGGATACAGGGGACACAGGAAGTGAACAGGCCTCAGCTCATCTGCTTTCTGCCCTGGTCTCCCCACCTCCGGCCCGCACACTCAGGGTGCAGGGAGGACAGCCAGCGGCGGCATTCTCAAAGCTCCTTGGGGGCCGCGAAGCTCCAGCCCACAGCTTGCTCAACCCCTGGGCTGGCTCGCCCAGCGGAGGCCTGCCCACCTGGGTTCTCTTCCTGCACTGCCCTCCGCTCTCCCAGGACCTGACCAGCCACACTGGGGCCCTTCAGTCCGCCATGGG